CGCCTTGATATCGAGGAAGACAGCAGCAACCGGAACATTAGCTTGAAATCCCTTCAAAATTTCAGTGTATAAGATGGACAAATTATTCATACACGAAAGACCCCTACGGAAACCAAACTATGACTTCGGCAACTTATTACCACTTTCTAACCACCAATTTAAGCGATTACATAGCATTCTCTCCATAACCTTACACAGACATGGGGCGAGCGAAATGGGTCGAAACTTCTGACCATCTGCTTTGGGTATAAATGTGATTAGATATTTCCTCCAATCCGCTGGAAAAATTCCCTGAGACAAAATAGAATTGCATATTCGCAGAAAGAAGCACCTACCCATTGCCGACAATTGCTTAATAACCGTATAATCAATACCATCCAGGCCTGGGCTGGATTTCACCCTGAGATTATGAAAAGCCACCCTCAACTCATCTTCCGAAAAGGGGAGATCCAAAAATCCGTCAGCGTCTTCTCCCACGAAGGGGGGCATATCAACGGGTACCCATCCTGCCCTGAGTTCATCGATCTGATCACATATCTTCTTCTCCTTATCGGGGGAACATTCATGAGCAACCTCCGACTGGTTATATCTAGATTGAAATCTCTTCATCGTTCTCCAAACATAAGTCAAATTCGAGTCCTTGTTTAATCCTTCACAGAATGATCTAAATTTCTCCTGTTTAATTCTGCGGAGCTCTTTTCTTGTAACCGCCACGCTCTTCTTATATTCTATAAAGTCTTCTCTTTTCCCTGACTGTTTAAACTTACTCAGAGCTTCTTTGCGAATTCGAATCCAGTCATCACATTCAGCTGTCCACCATGGACAAGAAGGGGGGGGAGGAAGCCCTTGGGAATGCTTCCCCGATCCAGCGCGAGTGTCGGAACGTTTAGACGGCGTAGCCACAGAGATTGCTTCTCCAATTATGGAAACGAAGGTAGAGTACATTACTTCAGGATCCATAGAGTCAGGATCTGAAATCAATTTCAAACTATGATCCATATCATCGCGAAAGGCATTCCAATCAGTGTCCCTTGCATGCAGACGTCGCGTTCCTCCAACGCCTCTACATCTGCCCAATCCAGCTTGTGCCTCGATGGTAATAGGCAGATGATCGCTGCCCCACGGATCCAAGCCAACTTGCCAATTTAAAATCAACGCAAGCGAATCACTAGCTAAAGTAAGGTCAATTGCCGAATTGGAGCGATGAGAAGCACAATGGAAGGTGGGGGATCCGTTATTTAACATTGACAAATCGCTATTCTCTATGGCCTCCCACAAACTATTACCTATACGACACGTGCTCGCAGAACCCCACACCGTGTTATGAGAATTGAAATCTCCACCAAAGATAACCTTACCTCGGAATTGGGATAGAAACCTATCCCACTCACCAACAGCGATATGTCCAGCGTTAGGTGGACGGTAACATGAAACCACCGTAAGGGGTTCCCCCCTCACAGAGACCTCGACGGCACAGGCCTCCACCAGTCCTCCACATCTCTCCAGGACTTGAATCCTTCTATATTTGATATCGTTCCGAATTGCAATCAAAACGCCTCCTCCACGGCCCAATCTGTCCTCCCTCACCGTGTCGAATCCTCTTAATTTAAAACTTATATCTGGGGAAAGCCACGTTTCTGAAATTAAAATTATATTAAAATCTGCGCTATACTTAGACAGTTCGTTAAACTTAGACATAACGGATTTCGCATTCCATTGGAGAATCTTCAAATTTCTAAAATTAAGGTTATGTTTAGTTGTTTGCGCCATTACTAATATCACGTTTGTTGGAAAGAGTGATTTTAAATACTTCCAAAACTTTAAAAATATGCTTGAATAATTCTTCCGCCTCCTTATCCGATAGCCTCATCTCGGTGATTCCAGTCACGACCTTCTTGAAACTGTCATTGTAGCCTGAATCCATTGCCGCTCTATATGACATGGCTTCTCCCTGGAAGTTCGGCTGCTGCCTCATAGAAACACGCCCGCTGGGATTAGTTCCCACAAGATGTGGGAAGTCCCCGGGGGATCTGAATGGTGGTGGGTTCGCTGGCCCAATTCTCTTCTCAACACTGGTCCTCGCCTCCAAAAAGGGTAGATTCTCGTAGGCCATAACCTTAGCTATTTCGTTGTGTTTGACAAACACAGGGCAACCACGATCCATAGTAGAATGTGGTCCGCCACAGTTAATGCATTTCTTCTCCAGACTACATGGTACTTCCTTCGATGAACGGTGATCACCCGAGCAGTTCAAGCAAGCTTCTGGTTTATCACAGAATTTGCTTATATGGCCAATGCGGCCACATTTAAAGCATAACCTAACCGATTGTACGTATGGAGAAACCGGAAGCACCGCCCTCCACATAGTAATCATATCCGGAATTTTCTCTCCTCTAATTTCCAGGCATACAGCCTCAGAATCTTCCAGCTGTCTCGTGGACCTGTTGCGTCTCTTTAATCTGAAGAGGTTAGAAATCATGATACTACCATTCTCCTCTTCTACGACTTTCTTGATTTCTTCCAGGCTCAAGTCATCTGGAATCTCCCTAACCACTATTTTTCTGCATAACTTGTATCTTGGAATGAAGGTGACGATGCCAGCCTCCTCAAGAAATTTATTTGACAAAGTGCTGTTTGCCACAGATTTGGATGCAAAAGACATCTTCCATGTATCGCGAGAATATTTTTCTACTTGATTAAATTTCACATTACACTTGTGCAAGATATTAGAAATTTTCACCAATGATATCCTCTTCTTATGCATCTCATTGTCTGATCTCATCCGCGCCATAACAATAAAGGGAGCTCTGCCGTAAGCATCGTATTTTGATTTGTCCCTGGTAACCTCAGTGCTCGGACCCGCTCTGTCTCGCTTAGCACTCTCGTTGTCCATACCTTGCGCAGCAGCAGCAACAGCAGAACGCTTAGGGCTTTCTCTCTCTACGACTGACTTCGTTGAAACCTTTGCAGATTCGCCTTGGTTCGCCTTGGATTTGGACTTTTTGGTTTCACGTGGCGATTTTTTCAAAAGATGAAACTGACCTCCATCATCGTCTGTCGATGGATGCACGCGTTTCAACGCGCCGATCATCTCGACGTCCGCAATTTCACTGTCCGATAAACTCATGTCTGTATCGCGCACCGATCTTTGCGATAAAAATCTTAAAAAATCCTCTTTAATGTCATCGAACCTTGGAGATTCCACGTGCCCGCCACGCGACGGGCACGTGTCTTTGAGGTTACCCGGTAACACCTTGCTTGTCTCACACGCTCAGCAGTAGAGATCGCGCACAAAGGACCTTCCAGAGAACGGAAAGGAATCGAGAAAAGACGGGACGGATGCCCCGCGAAGAAAGAGCACTCACAAGGCACTCAAAGCACAAAAACAGTAAGCCCGCCAAAAATAGCCGTCCTTCGGCTACGCTCGCTCAACCGGAAGTCCCATAAGTACTCTACACTCTCTCAAGTTCTTACGCCATCTACCGCAATACATACTGTACCATCTTGATACACAACGTTTCGTGCTGTTTACTATCGTTTATATGTGCTAGCGAAACGATTACACGTGAAACAAATATTTTCGATTATATTTTTTGTTAGACCTTAGATGACAATTTCGCAAGCTTAGGATTATTTGTGCACGTCATACGCTTTGCGCGAGGGTATCATTTGGTATGTACGACCTACAGAATTTCTACAATAAGTAAATTATAACCTCAAGTGACAGCTGTGAGAGCTGAAATAAGTGAATTTTTTATTTTTTTTTTCTCTAATTTTGTAATCAAATTTAGCGTTACCCATTCATTTTGATGTGTACTTTCATCGTGTGAAAAATTTTCATGATCTATAAAGCCAATTCGGAGAAAATGGTTAACTGTAATTGTCGGTCATTCCCGTTGCTTTAGGATCCCCTTAAATTGTAGACGTAAATAACGCACAAACTTTGGCGTATCGATGTATGACGTGTTTATGTACATTATTGCCATATCTTTCGATAGCGTGCATAAACACGTCATACGCCGATACGCCAAAGCTTGTGCGTTATTTACGTCTACAACTAAAGTGTGTTGTAAAATGTTACGGCAGTGCTTGTGCTCAGACCCTTACGCTATTCCGCTGCATGGGTTTGCACCCTTAACTGTATAATACGCATGCGTAACATTTTTCACTTTTAACCAAGTCGTCCGATGGTGAAAAATTTACATGAAAGGATATCATTTACTCATGAAAAGAGGACATATAACCATTCACTGAAAACTCACGTGAAAAGTTTCACATTGCAAAAATTACGATAGAAAAATATATTTATGTTATAGATAACTAAATCAACGTTAAGCAATATATCTTTTCAAATTAAACCACGCATTAATTAGTACATTACGAATCGTATACCATGCAGAATGTAATAAATCTTTTTCATTTTTCACGTAAACACTTTCACGTGAAATTCGTAATGTGAAAAGTGAAAAATGAAAAAGTTTCATGATCGATACCCGATCTCTACATCCAGCTTAAAAATTCTGGCAACCCTGGTTAGGCAACGAGACACGTTAGCCCTCACAACTGCAAGCGGGTTGGAAATCGCATCACTGGACTGAGAATGCGATTAAATTACTACAAAGTGCTCGGCTGTAGCAATAACTCCACTCAAGAGGAGATTAAACATGCTTACCATCGATGCTTATTGCAGTTTCATCCCGATAAGAATGATACAGTAGACATCCAAGAGTTTCACGATGTCAAGGAAGCTTGGCGGGTGCTCGGACATCCACAGTCCAGGAAGGAGTACGATGCAGCTTGCAAACAGGAACAGTTAGAGGCAGAAAACAGTCCTGTGTACGCGCGTCTCACACCGAATGACCTTGAAGAATCTGCTCTTGAAGACACATTGTTCTACCGCTGTAGGTGCGGCGAAAATTATCTTATTGAACGCGAATCTCTTCGAGAAAAGAACACTATGCTCCAAGTGATATGCGACGGTTGTACACTTATTATCATTGTTGAAACATAGCATATTTTTTTTATACTATAGTTTATACAATAAAATATAATCTCTTATAGCACCTATAGACTTTTTTTAAAAAGCCTGTAAAATGTGACTAAACATTATTTATCTTAATGAATATATATGCAAGATGATAAAATAAAATACGCTTTCTACTCTTGATTGTACAGTGTGACAAGATAATACTCACAGTATATAGAAAGAGGTCGAAATCGAACATTTATTTTGTACAAAATATGTTTCTTAGCACAAGAACATGTGTACAGTTGTAATAAATTTAAAAAAAAAAAACAAAATCTAAAATATCAGCAACATCTTTTTTCTATTTCTTATAAAAAATGATACAACAGGTAACACATTCTTATAATATAAACTATTGAGCAATATACAAATAAACACGACACCTAGTCTAACCTAGGTCCAATAATAAAGATGCATTTGCACAAATTGTATTATTTGATAATATTGTTCATGTTCATGACATGATTCAGTAGAATCTATATAAAATTCGTCAGTGACAATGATGCAATCTTTCTAGTCTTCATTATACAATTCGCACTAAATATAAAGATCTGGCTAATACAAATATTCTCTTTAACGAGTCTATTCAATATTGATAAATGTTTTAACCATTTTAATCAACAAAAACAATGATTTAAAAAAAGTACTATCCTGCTCTGTACAAACTTGTACTGGTTCACTTTTGTAAATCTGTATTGCACGCGAAAAAGTGCGCTATATCTGTATATTGCACCATGATGAAGTAAAACATGCGACATTGGAAGAAGTAACTTTTCAGTTACAAAAAGAGAAAATTATTCAATGAATTTTGTATTTGAATTATTTTACTCCAATTGTTAAAAGATTATTCTTCTTCAATAAACGTCAATCGTATGAAAATATTGGCTTGTAAACATTTATAAAAATATTTGTTTTTAACCAGATCAATGTTTATAGGCAAGTAAAGTCTAAATTACATGATCAGAAAATATCGAAGCTCTGATAGCTTAACAAAATGAATGTTGCAAAATACAACAAAACCATTTGAAATTTCTCGTAAAAAGATTTGTATGATCTCTCCGAAAGAGACGTGAATTGTCGTCGACAGTTTTCTTGTTTGCTCCAGGAGGTATGAGATTCTTCGATTAATGTCATTTTGCCTCGCAGTTTCAGTACGTCTCAGTCGCCTCGATTTCGTCTGCCACCGTTGACAAATGCTCCTAAATGCCCACATAATAAACCTGTTATATTTACAATGAATCTCATTAGGGATGTTTGCTACTTTTGCATCGTCGATGATTCTACTGAATCGTTATAACAGCGAAAATTCAGAAGTACACTGATAAGCTCTTCGTTTTTCTCTCTCCCCTCCCCCTCCCCATAAGTTTACGAGTCTTATAAATCTTACGTTTGTACACCACAACGCGCAAGCGTTCCAGCAAAACGACATAATTATAATTCTCCCATCGGGCATTTCAATCCATCTGAAGATCATTAGTTATGTTTCTCATTGCTTTCAGTTTTTGCTTTCCCTCCCATCCCCCAATCCCCGCAAAACTTTGCCCAATTTGACAGCGCGTACACAGTCTTATCACAATCACACCATGTAATACATAAATCATTGTACAGCGTAGATTAATTTTTAGACTACTTAATTGAAAATATGTACAGAAGTCGTACAAAGGGGGCGATTGGATCCATGTGGTGAGTTCACTATTTTACCTCAACGTCGAAATCGAGGACAAGCAGTTTTGTCTCCTCGGTACCGTTACGACTACCTACTGCACACACTAGTTTCGTATCACTCGCTCGAATCCTCCACACAACACCGCCGCTACCACCACTTTCCAGAGCAACTAGATTCCTAATGAAATCACCTGTGAACATAATACATGTTGGTCTTGACAATCGATGCGCATTCCAATCGGAAATAAATGGCGATAAAGGAAATACAAACCAGTCTTAACATCCCAGAGTTTTACTGTACCATCGTCAGAGGACGTAATCACAAAATGGCTATTAAACTGAAGGCAAGTAACCGCCGATTGATGTTTGTTCGGACCGGAAAGAGTTTGAAGGCAGTGACCGTTAACAATGTCCCATACTTTAACGGTAGAATCAGCATTGCCTGACACTAATATATTATTGCGCAACTCCATCCCCGAAGTAAGAGATTGATGACCCATCAGAGTATGTCTACAAGCACCTGTTTCTACCTCCCACACTCTTATACTCGTGTCCAATGATCCGCTAACAACGTGCACACCGTCGAACTAATAGAAAGAAAATGGCAAACAGACATTTGTCAATGCCGAAAAAGATCAGAGAGAAGCAAACATTTAACTGTAACACATATGATATACTTACCTGGAGGGAATAAACGCGGTTAGTATGTCCTTGTAAGGTATGAAGGCACTCCTCACGTTCTGGATTCCAAACTTTGACCATATAGTCGTAGGCACCACTGACCACCAACTTTCCATCATATTGCACACATCTAACTGCCGCTAGATGCCCCACGAGCACATGTAAGCACTCCCCTGTGTCCACCTGCCACACTCTTAGTGTCGCGTCTCTACTACCACTGACAATCTTGTTACCATGCAGGTGCATACATCTAACTGTTGAGGTATGACCATACAATGTATGAATACACTGGCCAGTTTCCGCGTTCCACACTTTCAAAGTACGATCTGTACTACCACTGATAACAATTGTACCGGACATTTGCGAAGACCACACGCCCCCGGTATGCCCAACCAATGTCCGTAAACACTGAAATATTGAGAAAACACAACAGGATAACCATAATCTCCTCTTTTGTGGTTAACGATTAAATCTCGTATCATTACGTATTTGCAATTTACCTTGCCCGTAACAGCGGACCATACTTTGAGTGTATTGTCATCTGAACCACTGACTATCCGATTGCCAGAGAATTGAAGGCATGTAATAACATGGTCATCATGACCTTTCAACACTTTTGGTGTACGAATCGGCTTCGTCCTCCAATTCATTTTAATATTGTGTTGCCGCATATAAGCCTGTTTCCACGGTGACGAGTGGTTGCTGCTTCGACAGTTCTTTCGTTTCGGCGGTAGTAGATCTTTCAAGTCTTCTATACCAGCTGCCTTACACTTCTCTTTCCAGAGTAGATTATCATCAGCTAGAAATCGCCAGTTTCGGCAGGTTTGGGCAGCCCTCAGGAGATCCTTCGGCTCCAGAAATGCCAATACCGACAACGCCAACTCTTTTGGCAGCAAAGATATAAAATCCCGTTGAAACTGTGGCTCTATCACCTGCATCATGTGACGCACTTGCGTGGGCTCGCATCTTTCTATTAGTTCATCTATCGCTAACATCCTTTCCGCATTTGACCATCTCTGTAATAAGTATAATTTTCACTCTTACTTTTTAAAAAGGATGGATATAATTGATTATATCATTTTCTCTAGCTCTAGTGACATAATTTTTTGTTACTATTACAATATTTATTAAAAATATTAATGTTATTTATATATAGATACCTGAAATTGCAAAAGCCAACTGCTCATTTCTGGAGGAGGATTGTCCTTAGTAGGAATGACACATCTCACGTGTTTACCTTTATCATCTAGTTTTCTTGCAGTCCTAATGCAAAAGAGGGGTATTAAAATATAAAAAAAAATATATATATATATAAATTATACTTATGTAATAAGAAATACAATACTCACATTATTTGAGACTTTTCTTCTGGATTAAGTTTTTTACAAGGTAGACAACACTCTGTTTCACTTTTTCGTTTTCTCTGAGGCTGAATAGCATCCAATGGCACACAAATATGCGATACTGGACTTTGAACTTGTTCAGAGAGAACCACTTGAGACTGTAGTATAGGTGACTGACAATTGTTGCTTTCGATTTCTGCTGTACACTCGGTATCGCAAAACAATCCACTATCGCTAATCTAAACAATATAGCATTAATTAGAAAGACATAACTCACTCTCTGATCATAAATTTAATAAGAAGGAAGTTATTGTTTGCCTTATTTACAACAAAAGTAAACTAAAGGAAAGGTTGCCACTTCAGCTTGTTCTAAAAACAATATACAAACAAAACTAGTGCTGACTTACTTCACTTTCTCCCTCACTACTTTCTTCATCACCCTCCTCCTCATCATCTCCATAATCTTCAGATTCCTCATCTTGTGGCAATACTGAATGCATAGGATCCAAGGAACTTGGTCCTGGAACTTCCTCGATTCCCTCAATTGGACTAGGACTAGCACCGCCTAGCTTATTATTGTCAGATATATTGTTGGAGGATGAAGGAGGGACAGACATTACTATACGTAGTGTTGGGTTTATAGGTATAGTAACTGTACCTAAACACAAAGGTCAGCGGTTAGCATAATTGGAATACAAATTAGCACGCGATATCTTTTACTTCATCTGTTACTTTCAAACACAAATAGATAATAATTTCAATCACAATGTGAGAATATTATTACATGACATAAGAATATTCTTACATTATGATTTCAACATAAAATTCTAATGGGAAATACAGCATGTCGCTATCTCATTCTATCGCGAGAGATTGGAATTTCGAGCTGGACAAAAACAGATTTAAAAAAGAAAAGGAAAAGAAGACAGATGGAACTCGTGGATATAAATTCGACGAATGACCGATTATCACTGTCGCCGCGAGGATTCAACCTAACCTTGAATCCTCTGCACCGTAATGCGGCTACGATTCGACACATTGTAAAATATTGCAATCGGACGAAGATACACTGATAACAACGAGCCGGCAGGCACGCCTCATGTATCCTCGTAAACGAACGCAACGCGAATTCACGACAAGCTGCGTATGACAAAAGGGGACTAGGAGAAGCTGCGTAAAACGGGGGAGGGGTCTATACTTGGGATGAGCGCCGTTCCCAGCCGTCAGCCTTTCTTAATCGATCGACGACGACGATCCCCCGATGCGATGGGGGTTGCTAGGGGTCCGGTGCGTGTCGGTGATGTCGGCGACGACGTGATACCTCTATCAAAGGAGCATGGCATTCATATCTCTCGCGTGCGATGGAGACGATGTTAGGTTAGAAACACGGAAGATATGCGGTGATGCGAAGGGGAAGAGAGAGTGGCGTAAACCTAGAGCAGCGCGGACGTCAAGAGGAAGGCGAGTGACGGACGTAAACACGACGAACGGGGCGAACCCATCGAGCGGCCTCCTGGCGGCTCCACTATCTCTTTTTACCTCCGTACCTCCCGACTCCAACGTTCGCACACGTTCGCACGACAGGTACATCAAGGTACATACGCACATGTACGCGACATCAGGGCGCGTCTCTCTGGTAAAAACTAAGGCTGCTTTCCATCAAGGCTTTTAGGCGACACACAATGGGCGAGTTCAAGACGACAAAGGTTGCTTTCCATCTACGACACAGCAATCACCTCATCTTTATTTAACATTAGCGAACGACGAGGATGCAACGATTGCCGTGTCACACCGTGTCACTTCTGTGTTTCTTGTTGGATAATAATCTTATGCGTAGATATTATTTTTTACATTAAAATAATCCAGATGACTTATGAACGTACTTCTTATATCGTACATATATTTAAAATGTAAATATTCTAAAGCACCAACCGAAAATTAGCAACCATAACCAAGAGTGTCCGACTATGCTTTTCTGCTGTGTCGAGTCGTGGCGTGTCGTTGTTGGAAAGCACCGCGTTCGACACTGTGTCGATGTGTGTCGTCTAAAAGCCTTGATGGAAAGCAGTCTAAGCTGCTGTGTCGAATCGTGCCGAGGCGTGTCGTTGTTGGAAAGTACCGCGTTCGACACTGTGTTGATGTGTGTCGCCTAAAAGCCTTGATCGAAAGCAGCCAAAGCGGCTAGGTACGCTTGCCGAGCGATCGAGTATGATTGGTTGGATCTATAAGTAATAACCAATTATATTCAATTGCTCGACAAGCATACCTAGCCGCTTTGCCGTCTTGAACTCGCCCATCGACACAGTGTCGAACGCGGTGCTTTCCAACAACGACACGCCACGACACGATTCGACACAGCAACTAAGGCTGCTTTCTATCAAGGCTTTTAGGCGACACACATCGACACAGTGTCGAACACCGTGCTTTCCAACAACGACACGCCACGGCACGATTCGACACAGCAGAAAAGCATAGTCGGACATTCTTAGTTATGGTTGCCAATTTTCGGTTGGCGCTTTAGAATATTAACATTTTAAATATATGTACGATATAAGAAGTACGTTCATAAGTCATCTGGATTATTTTAATGTAAAAAATAATATCTACGCATAAGATTATTATCCAACAAGAGACACAGAAGTGACACGGCAATCGTTGCATCCTTGTCGTTCGCTAATGTTAAATAAAGATGAGGTGATTGCTGTGTCGTAGATGGAAAGCAACCTAAGGCATTAGAGATATAGGTATTATACTTCCACCATGATAGGTATTCCTATCCGCCATTTTAGGTCCACTTGACAGATAGGTTATATTACGATTAGTACGTGGTGACAATGTAAATGTATCAAAAATTAAAATAAATTGCCGTTGAGAGCCAACACAGGATGAAGGTGTGTAGTAAAATTTATTTACATATAATTTAGTTACATATTGCAAATTGCATACGTTTCGACCTTAATCCAGGTCCTTTTCAATGCATGAATTTTTCATGCATTGAATTTTTCATGCAATGAAAAGGACCTGGATTAAGGTCGAAACGTATGCAATTTGCAATTATATGTAAGTAAATAAATTTTACTACACACCTTCATCATGTGTTGGCTCTCAACGGCAATTTATTTTAATTTTTGATTTATTTATGGAGTCTCTTATTGTTATGAATGTAAATATAGTTCAAGATGCCTTGTTGCGTTGCAATAAATAGTAGCAGCGGATTTGAAAAAGGTAACAAATTAAGTTAAGCACATTTGTTCGAAATGTATTGAATTTTTCACATGAAATGCATAACAGTGCATAAACATAACATAGGACCGCTGGACCAATGAGCATTTTATTTTAATTAATATGGCAACTTTATGCTGGATGCTTATTGGTCCAGCGGTCCTATGTTATGCTCATGCTCTATTATGCATTTCATGTGCAATAGGTTTAAGGGGTTATACTACCTTGGCGCGCTGAAAAATGAATCGTTTTTTGGGAATTTTTTTTCTCGGTTACTAACGAATGGATTTAAATGAAATTTTGAGGCATGATTAAACATATATTGAAGTGCACACACAAATTTTTTTGTCAATTTATTTTACAAAATGGCGCCGTTGCACTATCATAGTCAAAATTGTGTTTTTTTCGTAACGACAAACGGCGTTGTCTGTTTTAGCACTTCTATGGCACCTAGAACAAAAATCCAAAATTTTTCTTAAAATATGTTACTTCTACTTTGGAAGTACACATGATTTTGTTGTTTTATTGAAAATTCGCAAATTGGCATCAATTTTAATGTATGTTATCGTTTTTTGGGGTAAAAATCGACCTTAAATTGTTTATAAAAAACGTAATTTTTTAGTAATCGAAAAAACCATGTGTACTTCCAAAGATAATATATCTGAGAAGCTACAGTTAAAATTTCAAGTAAATCCATTGAAAATTGGCAGAGTTCCAGGCAACGCCAGTTTGTCGTTAGGAAAAAAACACAATTTTGACTATGATAGTGCCACGGCGCCATTTTGTAAAATAAATTGACAAAAAAATTTGTGTGTGCACTTCAATATATGTTTAATCATGCCTCAAAATTTCATTTAAATCCATTCGTTAGTAACCGAGAAAAAAAATTCCCAATAAACGATTCATTTTTCAGCGCGCCAAGGTAATATAACCCCTTAAAGCACAGATACTGTGCTTAAAGCGGGGAACACAGACTTTTGCATAACGCATAATACATAGTACATATAAGAGAAACAGCCATTCTGAATTCCTCCTTTCCTTCTACTTCTCGGAAATAAGAACTTTGATTGGCTGATTTTCTTATGCACTATGCGTTATGCGTTATGCAAAAGCTTGCCAAAAAAGCGGGTAAGAAACTATAAGTGATCTATGTGAAATTCTGTATATATTCATATAAAGCATGAATGTCGTATATAAAGCTGAACATTCATATATAATACGATACAACGTCGTATGATGTTCATATCGAACCCTATAGAAAACTATAGACGAAGAATCACGGAAATGAAAAGTCATATACAATACTATAAGTTTTCGGTCTTTTATACTGAAAGTCGTATATAATACATTAAAATTAGTGATATTCCTTTTCAAATTCTATCCGTTTCTATCGAATTTTAAAGCAGGGTTATTAAACGATCCTGATGATCCCTTGGATTGAGTCTCTTGTTCTCGTTTTGGCTTTAAACAGTCCTGCCTGAGGTGTCCGATAGTGTCACAATTGTGACACCATTTTGTAACAGATTTCAAGTTATACCTCATTGAGTTTTGTTTGGCATATTGTTCTCGTTTCCTTTTGGTATCTTGCAGCAACTTTGTTTTTACCAGATCACTTGTAATTACCGTTGCTGAGTGCTCTAGAGCCATGCACATCGGCTGATACTCATCAGTAAGTCCTTGAAGCATCACAGCACCAAGAAATTCATCGTCTACTGGCTTATCCATTGCACGAAGCTTTTCAGAGATAGACATTACCTCATCGACATATGCTTCCATAGTAGGAAAATTTTCTAATCTCACTGAGCATAAATTACGAAGCAATCCAAGACGTCGATTAAAACCTTTGTCTTCGAAGGCTTCTTCAAGCGTTTCCCATGCGTCTTTTGCTGTATCACAAGTCATGAGATAGGAGAAGCAACATTCTTCCACCATGAGGTTTATTTTTGATAATGCTTTCTCATCTTTTCGAGCTTTCACATCTGCGTTAGTAGTGTCGTCATCTGGATAACCTATAATAGTACACCACAAATTATCATGCCGCAGATAATTTTTCATCTGAAACTTCCAATTTATATAATTATCACGTCCTTTGAGTTTCTGAAAACTCATTGATATGTTAGACATAGATTCAACCATGTTGTTAAGGAATCAAAGTCAATTCGGTTATCCACACAATATGAAATTATATTTCTTGTTTTGACGAATTACTTGATCTTCTGATATCACACTTGAGCTCACAATTTGCCTGGGCCCATAACCTCTTAGATTCGTGATATCAACAACAAGAATCAGATTAAGTTTCAAAATAACTTTTATTTTATACACACAGAAAGTGATAGAAGTGATCAGTACAAAGGAATAAGGGTGCAAATCCATGCAGCGGAATAGCGTAACGCGGAACGAGAGTAGAACCACGAGATTCTCTAGAAACACGGAATGCTCGTTATTGGTTCTGCTCTCGTTCCGCGTTACGCTATTCCGCTGCATGGGTTTGCACCCTAAGTAACGGAAGATGTGTTCATCTTCTTCTTCTTCTAAATTTAAATGGCCCAGGTTTCGGAGTGACTGGATAAACGTGGCCAGTCGTACTTATGCACAGTCAAAGTCGGCAACACTTTCAAAAATATACAAAGAAGAGCACCCGAACCAAAACGCGTCCGTAACGGTCGGATGGTTCGTCGGAACAGTGATGCACATTGGGGTCCCAGCACGCCGCGTTCGGCTTGACTCGGCTAAGAGAGCGCAACAGCACGACTGTCTGTCCTTCAGCCTTCGACGCATGCGCACTAGCCGAGCGCGAGCGAGATGGCAGACGCTACGTCACGATCGGACCCTCTCGCTCGTCCGCTTGTCGCGAGCGGCTGAAAATGTTTCTCGGCCGGCTCGGCCGGCTCGGCTAACGATATAAGGGATAAAAGGACGTTCCATATGACATATATGTTTAAATAAATTTTTAGAATCGTATACCTTTCCCATTAATCCACAATGGCATAAATTATGTCAAAATGCGATAGTTTACGAGATATTAATTATTTACAATTTCCCATGCGAGTAATATACCTCGTTTATAAGAACGATTTAAAAGTACTCTACATGGTCGAGCGCATCTAGGTGCAAGCCTAGAATGCTGGAGATCTTATGTTCAAATCTTTTAATTTTTTCTCTTTTTTTTTTGTCTAAAATAAGTACAGTTATTAGTATCTAAACATATTAGGCCAAATATACTTGTAGAGATGACAAAAAGTTCGGCAACGGTCAAATATCTTGGAAAATAATGATTATGGAAAAAAATGTTCAATACAAAAGTTTTAGTATATCAAGTGATCTATTATACGGTTATATTGAAAT